ATTCATAGAGCAATCAAGAACTTTGCATAAATCATCATAAGAATACTCAAATGAACTTTTATTAATTGAACTAGAGAAGTTAGAGTTTACCTCCTCATCATTGTAGCTATCCTCTTGAGCCATGAAGCAAAGATTTGCAACACCATTTTCCAAGGAGCTTTCACTTTCCATTGAGCTAGTCTCATCATTGCTCCAAGTGGTGGTAAAAGCTTTCTTCTTCATGCTCTTCTTGTTTTTCCTTTCACCCTTCTTCAATTTGGGACATTCATTTCTATAATGCCCCAACTTGTTGCACTCATAGCATTTCACACTCTTTTTGGTAGACTCTCCTTCATATCTTTTTGCAAGCTTGCTCTTGATGTTCTTCTTCATGAATCTCCTCACTTCTCTAAAGATCAAGGTGGAGATGTTTTCACCATCACTGGCATCTTCTTCACTCTTTTCCTTTTGGTTGCTAGCCTTGAATGCAACATCCTTCTTCTTCTTCTCAACTACTTCAACTCCATCATCAACTTGAACTTCTATCTCATATGTCATCAATTTTCCAATGAGATCTTCAAGCTTGAGAGTGTTGAGATCCTTAGACTCTTCAATTGCGGTCTTCTTAGCTTCCCAATTCTTAGGCAAGCCTCTAAGAACCTTCCTCACCACTTCTTGCGAAGAATAAACTTTACCAAGAGCCTTGAGATTGGTGACTATATCATTCAATCTTGTATACATATCTTGAATGCTCTCCTCCGGTTTCATCTTGAAAAGCTCATACATGTAAATGAGTCTATTGATTTTTGACTACTTCACTTGACTTGTTCCTTCATGTGTTACCTCCAACATGTCCTACATCTCCTTGGCCGTATCACATCCGGATACTCTATGGAATTCCGTTGGATTAAGAGCACATTGAAGCATGTTGATTGCTTTGTTGTTGATCATGATCTTCCCCAAGTCTTCATCATTCCATTCAACTTCTTCCTTTGGCACCTCTTTTTCTCCAACAACTTTCATAGGTACATATGGACCTTTCATAGTCACAATCCATGCCTTGGGCACATTTGCAAGCATAAAGACCTTCATCCTATTCTTCCAATAATTGTAATTAGTCCCATAAAAGAAAGGAGGTCTAGTGGTAGACAAACCTTCAAGTGGTTGAGAAGCTTGAAATTGAGCCATCCTTGATCAACTCCTAGGTGGTTAAACCTTCAAATTGGAGCCCTTGCTCTGATACCAATTGTTGACTCAATGTACTCCAAGAGGGGGGGTGAATTGGAGTTCCAAAAATTCTCCCCTTTTTGCAATCACAAAACCAAAATTAAAGAGAGTAGAGAAGAAGAGCTTGCTCAATGATTTATAGAGGTTCGGTCCAACCACTTGGAGCCTAGTCCTCTACCTTGGCTTCACTCACCAAGGATTTCCTCCACACTCTCTACTAACAACAACAAGGGTGGCTTAAAGGAGCCACTCAATCCTTTTACAAGAATAAGGGTGTTTCTCTCAAATCTCAACCCTTTACAAGATAAACCCAAACAATCCTCTCTACAAATCACTCTTGAAGGAATAGTCACACCTCCAAGATTCTCACAAATAGCACAAGAAGAGGATTACAAATAAAAATCTCTCAAAGATCAAAATCTCAAGTTAAAGCACAAGTTGGTAGGTCAAAATATTCAATACAATGTTCTCTAAACTTCTTCAAATCTGTTACCAACCATATTTATAGTCCATTGCTTGAAAATAGCTGTTTCTAGCCGTTGGGGGTCATTAAATAATCTGCAAGATGCAAAGCTCGAGTTGCAGGATTGTTAGGAGAGCCGGCTTAACTTCATAGAGCCGGCTGTATAGAGCCGGCTCACCATTTCTGCAGTCGGCTTTGCGGGTTTCCTGCACATTTTGTTTTCTTCCACAGCCGGCTGCAAAGTCTAGAGCGACTTTGGTATTCCGACTTTAACAATATTAATTTTTCTTCAAATAAGTCGACCGTTGTGCATTAAATGTACCTTTACAGCTGGTTGCAAAGTTAGAGTTGGCTTTGCGTCTTTTCTCCTCGCGCGCCAAACAACGAATCTTTAAATCTTTACCCGTAGAGCCAACTGCGGCTGCAGCTTTCAAGAGCCGACTCTCTGCACATACTCAAGCTTTTCTGGTCCATTTTTAAGTGCAGTCCAAGTTTACTTGCAATCTTTTAGCAACTTAACTATATACTTAAATAAACCAATTAGTCACTCAAATGTGTTTTGTAATCATCAAAATCATAGGTACAACATTAATTAATAATTACTTACTATCTTATACCCTAAGAGTACAAAATAGATAACCTGAATGAATAAATATAAATAAAAGATTTTTGTGAGTTACTGTAAAAAAAAAAAAAAAAGGAGGAGATCTTGATGACTAAAAAAAAATAAAGTATTGATGCTGGTGTCCGTGAGCTTACACGGGTGAAAGTTGCTAGATGCATGCCACCCACGTGAATAGAGACACCCATTAATAGAGATGCAAGTGAAGCTTAGGCTGCAACCTGCAAGTTATTGGGTGGCAGTTGGCATTTTGGTATGCATCATTTGAAAATATTATATAATACTATTGAAGAGATTGCTTCAATTGAGGAGGTTTGCTCCATTCTTTGTTAATGTTGGACAAATTGAAATCAACTTTTATTATTATTATTATTATTATTATTATTATTATTATTATATTTTAAGTTACATAATAAGAAGAAACCCTTTTCTATTTTTTAATTTATTTCATTCACATGTTATGTACTTAAATATAAGATCCATTACTTTTATTAGTAATAAATTATTACTGAATTACTTAAATTATTATTAAATTTAAATTAAAAAAAGATGTTTTAATCATTTTTAATAATAACTTATTGAAATAATATAATTTTATGATTATTCTTTTTTCAATTTTTAAAAGGTAAGGTGAATGAACAATTTTCCTAATATATAATATATGTATTGTGTGTGGCTCAATCATAGAAGAAAAAAAATACTTTTCTATCATAAATGATCTAGTTTTTGATTGAATGAGGAATAAACTCATCTTAAGCCAATTGAAAAAAATGAAAGCTTACATAACTCAATAATAGTTTCCTTTTAATAAAAGTAAGATGTTATAACTCAAATCATATGATATATAAGTGAAATAGATCAAAAAATGAGAGAAAGTGTCATCCATTGCACAATTTAAGATTTAAAAAATAAATAAAAGATGTTTCCTACTAATTCAAAATAAGGAAACGGTTTCAAAATGTTATTTAATTGTAATTAAAGAAAAAACAGTATAAAATTAATGTATATATATGGTAAGTGCAACTTTATTGACTAACAAGTTAGGTTGTATCCCGCCATAAAAAAGTACGGTTTTCTTCCACTTGCTCTATATATACTATACTCCGTATACCAAGAAATGAAAAATATATATCTAATATTCACAGAACAATCAAATTTTAAAAAGTGATTTTTTTTTTCCCAAAACGAAATGGAAGAATACAGCAGAGTGCATTACAAGATAAAGTGAATTTTTTTCTAGTAAAGAGAATTTTAGTGAGTCATAGGGACTGGGGATGACACTTGACAGGCAGATATTGGCAATTGAAACGATGTTTTAAAATATTTATTTATAAATTAATTTTAATTTATTAAATAATGAACATTAATTTTTTATTATTAATTATTTTTAAAAATTAAATTAAAATAAAAAATTTAACAATTATTGGTGACTAACGGATTAAATAGTAACAATAAGTATAGACATTGAAAATTTTGGTACTTGTGTACTCCTAATCTGCATTAACCTGTTCATTTTGACTGTTGGGACAGGTTTCTGCTAATTTAGACGTGGAGAGAGGGAAGTTCAAGCCCGGCCTAGGTGCCACGACAGAAATGATGGTTCAATAAATAAATTCTGGTCAAGCCCCTTTAACACGTGAGTCAGGTCTCGGATATGGTAATCAGGGGTATATATTAGGTTAAATGTCAATTTTGTCCCTTAATTTTAATATTTGTATAATTTTCATCATTCAATTTTTATGCACTTTTTTGTACTTTGACTATAAAAAATATGTTTTTTTTTTTAGTTTTTTC